GTATCGATCCTTCCATAACTTCTTCATCGTAGAAGCTGTATCATTTAGCGATCACAAGAAGAACATGAAAATTTATGGGGAATCGAAGTTAAAGCTGGTACCGCTACTACGATATTGAAAAGTGAAGGTATATGTGTGTGATATGAATGAATCATACATAAATTTCATGTCATTTCATATTTTAGCATTTCATATTTATTTGAATGTTCATAAATTAAAATTACGAAATATTTCTATTCATAAAATTAATTTTTAATTAATATTCCACGTTTTTTCTTCTGGAAAATTTCATAAATACATAAATGGGTGTCAATAAAAAGGTGTAAATATTTTTACGACTGTTTTTATCACATAAAATTATCACATAGTTGCATTGTTGAAAACAAGAATAAAAGGATAGTGCGGATAATGATAATAGTGTGATTATCGGATAAAGCTTTCTAAGTAGGCTGATTAATGAAGAAGGCTTTATATTAATTTCTGTTATGATAAGAATGAAATAATTCAAAATAAATCGTCTTACTTGGAGCAGAATATTTGACAGTTTTTCTCTAATTATCATCATTAATAAGTGTAATAATGGAAATTTGTAATTAATAGTTTATAATAATTAGTTTGTAATCAGTAGTTTATAATTAATAGGTTAGATTAAACGAATAAGATTTGAAGATTTCATGATGTTAACGTCTTATATTACCTTTTAACTTAATTTCGTCTTATATCACCTTCTGACTTAATTTCTTATTTTTCTCGCAAAGTTTTTACAGAGATTGATGCTTACACCTGGTGAATGATGCTTACACTTGGTGAATGAATACACCTAATGAATGATGCTTACACCTGGTGAATAATACTTACACTTGGTGAATGATGCTTACAGCTGAATGATATAACTGATGAATGATGCCTAAACCTGGTGAATGATGCCTTAACCTGGTGAGTGATGTTTGTATCTGATGAATGATGCCTAAACCTGGTGAATGATGTTTGTACCTGATGAATGATGCTTGTATCTGATGAATGATGCCTAAACCTGGTGAATGATGTTTGTACCTGATGAATGATGCTTGTATCTGATGAATGATGCCTAAGCCTGGTGAACGATGTTGTACCTGATGAATGATGCTTATATCTGATGAATGATGCTTAAGCCTGGTGAACGATGTTGTACCTGGTGAATGATGTTTGTACCTGATGAATGATGTCTAAACCTGGTGAACGATGTTTGTACCTGGTGAATGACGCTTGTATCTATTGATTGATGCCTAAACCTGGTGAATGATGTTTGTACCTGATGAATGATGCTTGTATCTGATGAATGATGCCTAAACCTGGTGAATGATGCTTGTACCTGGTGAATGATGCTTATACCTGATGATTGATGCTTTTACCTGGTAAAATGACGCTTGCATCTGATCAATGATGCTTGTATCTAATGAATGATGCTTACATCTGATGAATTTCACTATTTCAATTCTCCCCTGCAGTCTTTCGATACACAATAAAATAGATTACGAATCTATTTTATATCATATTTTAATGCAAAATATATTATTCCTCAAATAGTAACTGATAGTTAATCGATTTTTGGAACTATTTTAGGCTTAAATTGAAAAAAAAAAGTCCAACTTAATGAGCAAAGAAAAGGATTTGCAAAATACCAGATGTTCGACAGATCGGTGAAGTGTAGAGCGGTTGAATGTAAATGAATTGTAGCAAAGAGAACAAAAATGATGACATATTTGATTTAAGCGTATACTTTCATTATTTCTTTATCCATTCAACTATTCCTACAATTTCTATTGATTATTTATTTCTCTACTTAATATATAAATTTTTTGTAAGACACAAAATATTATTAAATTATGAAATATCGACTTATCAAAATATCGAATTATCAAATTATCAAAGTATCGAATTATCAAATTATCAAATTATCTGCATTGTTGAAAATAAGGATGATATATTTGATTTAAGTTCGTACACTTTCATTATTTCTTTATCCATTCAACAACTCCCACAATTTCTATTGATTATTTATTTCTCTACTTAATATATAAATATTTTGTAAGAGACAAAATATTATCAAATTATGAAATATCGACTTATCGAATTATCAAATTATCAAAATATCTGTATTGTTAAAAATAGAGATAAACCAATAATTCGACAATAATAATAATAGCATGACCATTGGAATAAAATTTTATAAATACAGCTTAATAGTCTCAATAATTAACTTAATTGCCATTATATTTCCAGTTTTAAACCATTACAATTTTTTTTTATTGACTGAAAAATAATAGATGAAAAAAATTTGAACATTTCAAAATTAAAGTTATTTAATTTAAATTAATTGAAATTATAATAAAAACAATAAATGAAATAAAAAAAATAAAAACATTAAAATTAAATTAATTATTTAATTAAAATTATCCTATTGTATTAATTGAAGATTTTTTTATTTATTCCAAATTATTCGATACATACATATTATATATACATATCGAATAATTTGGAAATAGACATTAGGCATTAGAAATTTAATTTATTAAGCATAAAATTCCGGAAGGTTGACTGGACTATCATACTGGAATTGTAACAAAGCCAGAATCAACAAGTCTACAGGTTTCTGATAGAAAAATTAATTGTTTTCTAAATACTTATTAAAATGAAGAAAAAAATCGATGTACCCAATTAAGGACAATTGAACTTCAATTAAGTGTGTGAAATGATGATGAGTTGTACTCCGATTTGAAATGTTAAATTTAAAAGTAAACTTCGTCACTCTCATATCAATAATTGACTCCTTCCGTTTTCTCGTAACACCAAAAGACAATTTACACAAATGACGTTTTCTTATTCGTCGTCGTCACCGCTTTTAATAATGACAAATGCTTGTTAAACAATACTATCTCTTCTTCCAACCACAAAGAATAATAAATGTCTTCAATCAGTAAGTTCATTTCGACACAATACTTCGTCTTATTCAAAAATTTTTAAGACATTTTATAACTATTCAGAGTAAACAGGTAATAAAACTAGATAGGCGCTGCAATGAAATCTTACAATAAAGTTTTGGAAATATAGGCGCATTTGATCTGCCAAATTAATTACTTGATAACTCATAGTTATTTATTTCCAGAGTAACAACCATGATGAAAATATTGGTTGACATAATATAAAAACTAGCATAACATGATAACAATATTTCTCGCCATACAACAAAATTACTTTATATAACAAAATATGGAAAATTCGATGTTTATCAATTTATAACTTTTATAATGCTAGTACTGTTGGATATATTTCAAAAGATTAAAATTCATAAGATTTCCTGACGAAATATTCATCTCACAACAATAACAAAGAAGATTTTTTATTTTACTTCTAGTTCATTTAAATTTCAATAAAATTACTGTGGAAAATTCTGCAAAAAATAGGATACTTTTTAAAGTACTTCTAAAAAATCGTATGAAAATAGTAAATTAATACCATTTATGAAATAGATATGGAAATGCTTAACTCAGAAATAATTACTTTAGTTTTATGTATATTAAACAAATCTGCGAATTTAAGTAAGTTACAATTCTGCAAGCTATAACTCTGCGTCTTTCTTGAAAAAAGCAAAAAAACCATTATCCCAGCTGAGATTTTAATTTCTCATCCACTAACATCTAATCGAAACAATATTTCAAGAAGAAAGCGACAAAACTCCATCCTTGGGGTCATTCTTAGATAATGATACAGCGGTATCACTATCGCGAACATATATATCGCTATCATCTTTTTCATTTTCTTCATCAAATAATTCGGATGGAAAAAAATTCCCCCTGCAATAATAGAAGCGGAAAACATTAATAAACTGAATAAGTGAAAAAAAGTGATTAAGAGAGAAACTTATAAAAAGACATAAAAGACAAGATAAAATCATAGCCAAATGTTTACATACATTTCGCTAAGAGAACTTCTTGGAAACAACGTCTGCGGTTCGATTCCTACCAATCTTTCGGAATATGGTAATGCCACAATCTCCTGTATAAAACTTTTTAAAATTTCAAGGTTACAGTTACAAGTTACAACCAAAACATTCTTCCTAAAAAGACATGTGAGATTTCCACAATCTTTCTTTTCGAAAACGTGAAATTACCTCAATTCTGGCATACAAGTCGAGAATATGTGATTGCTGTTTCTGACATACAGAGAGAAGAGAAAGATATTTGTGTTGCGCGGCTTCATACTGTTGAGAGTGCAACTGTTTCGAAAAATCATTTAGTAGGAAATTAAAATTGATTATTTGAACTTTTATCTATGAAAACAGCCTTATTTGTGACTAATTATACGTGTAATTTGAACGATAAAGTGAATAATTACCGCTTAAAGACCAACACTCCTGCTATTCCCTACCAATATTTTTTAAGAAGATAAAAAAGTGATGTACCGCTTGCTAGAAACTAACAAAAGATGAAGGAAATCAAACTTAAAAAGAAAACCTTCTTGGCTCTTTCAAAGACAGAGCTAAATTCAGTGCAGCGTCTCCTCTCAATCATTAACTCGTCTTCGAACTTTCGAGCCTTAGCTTTTGCAGATTCCTTCGCTCTTTCTTCACTAACCAATGCACTCTTCAATCGGACTACCTGCAAAAGAAATGCCATCTAACCTACGAAATTATGGATATTGAATTCATATATATCCACGAAATTGAATTTCTAGAATACAATCATATTAATTTAAATATCGATTGCCAAGTATGGGATATTGGAATATTCTGGGCTTTGGAATTATATGAAAAATTTTGACAGAAAGCGACCTACCTCAGCTATCATTTGCGATGTGTCAATTTCCATTGATCTAATCCGTGATTTTGACCTAAAACCTTCTTCTTCCAGTCGTTTTTGAAGCTAAAAAATATTGCTTATTTTAGCAAAACCACTAATCACGTTGCAATACTTTAATCCACAGTTGATGGCTCAGAAATAAAATTAAAATATGCTAAAATCGGCCTAACAATTTCAATCATTTACCACAATCAATCGTTGGTAGCTTAGTCAAAATCGATAGCATAATCAAAAAAATCTTTTTTCACATATTTGCTGTAAAGCCCATTTTTGGTACTTAGAAATAATGCAAATAAGTGATAAAATAAATTAAGAATAACCAGCGAAACTTCATCCCTGAGTTGCTGGTTAGTTTGATGAGCATTTTTTAATTCCATTTTCAAGGTTTCAATTCCCTCCAATTTTGATTCCGCAAATAATAACTTCATTTCCGTGTCCTCAGATCTTTAAATATAGCAAGTAAAAATTTTTAAATCATAAACTGTAATCGCATAATACTTCTTAACAGGACAGTTTATCGTAAAACCATTTAAATCTAAACTTGAACGCCGAAAAGTTGAATGAAATATAAGATGTAATAGCGTACAGTTTTCAAAATATATGTATCAAATGGGATTTCAACTTTCCGAAGAATGACAAATACCGTTGAATTAAACCATTAAAAAATGATAAATAGGAAACAAAAAACTTTTTAAAGCCAAAAACTCTATCTTTATGTGTATGCAAAAAGAGGAAGAGGGGAGAATCAAAATGGTGCAAAATCGTAACCATGTAAAATGGTAATCGTGAATGATAATGTGACGTCATATTACAAAGTTTCTAAAAATCACAGAGACCTCGACAAATATAATTAGAGAAGTTCGGTAACGTGGAATTTGGCATTGCAACATCCAATTTTTGTTTTAATACTTTTTCAAATTAATTAAATTTGCTGCCATATCAATTATACAACTAATTATTGTGAGTTGAATATTAAATTTTGATATATCGGTGTTTACTGGTTTTTATCAAAGAAGGAAAGCCATACCTCCTTTTATACATTTCTAACTCAACTTGCCGATGATTGTTGTTTTCAACCATAGATTCCATTTTCAGTTTCAAATTTGTCAGAAGAGCCAAGTAATGGTCTGCTTCCTTAATTAAAAGATTTTGAAATCCTCCATACTCAAAAATTCAGACAAAATGGAAGCCAAAGCAAACTGTAGTAAAATAAGAAAGTGGATGAAAAAATGAAGACTTAACTTTTTAAATAACATATTTAGTAAATTATCAGCTTACATTGCGGTAAGTCTTTATCGTCTCACAATATCTCTTCTCAATCTCTTCTCGTTTTGACCGTTCTATATTGCCTCGCTTCCGAAGATCTGTCAAAGCATTTATCAGCTGTTCTCTTTCCTGAAGGCATAGCTTTTGAAAAATGAACTTTAAGAATGATAAAGAAAAAAATTAGCTTAGAAAAATAAAGGAAGATGAAAATCCTCAGGCACTAAATCTACCGAAATAACTTTTCTCACCATCAATGCTGCAAAATTCTTCAAAAAATATCACAAAAATTTACGACTTGTGCATTGTGAAGAGCCATACTGAGTGCTATTTTTTCTGCTTCCAATAATTTCTGCTGTTTCAGACGACCTCAAAATATTTTGAGAAATAATTTGTTTCTGAGCTACTTTATTATCAATACCTTGAAAACTTTCAGGGAAACCCACAACTTATATCTTGACACTTAATCAGAAAATTAAATTGGGACTTGATTTGAAATTACATTCTGGGAGCTTTTCTTTTTAAAATCTCAATATTGTACCATGGTTTTTAAATCAAACTTTTCAAATTTTAAAAAATTTTGCAACTTCAAAAAAACTATCTTTAAAAGTTTTATATATTTTGTTATATTGCCTACAATTTATATGCTATAATTTCATAATTTTCAAATTTCGTTGCCAGACAAAAATTTGATCACAAAACTTCATTTTTTTACCGAAAAGTCGACGATTTCGTTCGGCATGAAGCAATCTTCCACTACGTTCGTATAATAAATGCTGATTAACAAGCGCCAAACGAGCATTGAGAATTTTTATCTGAAAGTAAGAGAACTCCCATTCAGGTAATAAATTTAAGAGAAATTTGAAATTACATGTTGTTCTTAATTATATATATGAACGATTATAATTCAGAGAACTTACTGTTAGTAAAAAATCTCTACAGATGTATTTTAGTGCAATCAGCATTAAATTGTATTATGATAATGGTATGATAATATGTGAGACAAATTGTCATTCGTACTTTCCATTTTCGAGAAATTATGAATTAAAAATGAAAAACAAACCTGAGCTTCAGCCGAAAGACCCTTAAGTTGTTGGGACAAATCATCGTAAATTGTTGTTGGAAGACGATCGGCTAAGCCAAGCTGTTTTAAGTGTGTATGACAATCAGCACTTGCTTCCATGTAATTTTGACGTGTACGTTCATGCTCATATTTTAATTCATCATTCAGATTTTCTTCATCTTAAAAATCTTTATACATCATAATCATTAAAAAAATAAGACAGCAAATTATCCTGTCTTATTTTTTAGTAAGCCACGATTAGAGAGTTCAGCGTGAAAAATAACCTTATTTATTTGTTGAACTTTCTAGATCGGTCAAAAATTTTCAAGCTTTGAATCCACAACAAATTCTATTTCATTCCGACAACTTATTATTAACAGGAAGAATAAGATTGCAACTACTCGATAATTTGGCATTGCCGCACACTTCATAAGAATTAAATTAGCCAGATAAAACTAGAAATTGAGCAAACCAGCGGTAGTAGAAGCTTTAAAAAATTAATTATAAAATGTCCAATTGTGTTGCCATCATTTCTTTATAGAAGCATGATGTTTTGTAGTGATGATATTCTTTATAGAAACATGATGTTTTGTAGTGATGAGTAGTAAAATATTATTTAAAAAATTTGCTTTATAAAATGTTGGAGTAGTTCATTAACAAATAAACGAAACTGGAAGAACTGACCAATTAGAGAAAAAGGAAGAGCTTGTAGGAAAGGAAGATAGGGACATTTTTGAGCAATTAACTCTTCAATATCTTCGATAGACAGCTCAGAATTTCTTGCGATCATAAACTGTCTTTGCTTCAAATCATTCAGGTTGCATATTTTTTCTTTATCACCCAATTCCGAAGCATGCAACAGATCAGGACAGGAAAAAGCACGAAACCTGAAGAATGAAAATTGACTTCAGCAGGTTATTCAAAATTTATGATCACAAAGCGATTACAATTAACGGTATAAATTTTTTTTGTTACGACTGTTTAATAAGCAAATCAAAACTAACAGTTGCGTTTGCGAGTTCCCCAGATGACCAAGGCAATGAATTACTTCATTCTTTTTATGATAGCATCCACTTATGAATCGTTGGCGATTCACCTTTCGAAAAAATGAAGTCACCGAAAAACGATTCACGCTTTCGTTCGAAATGCTTCCACCCGATTCATCGACTTCATTCACTTTAAATTCTTTAATCTAGAAAAAACATGCTTCTTTTGACGAAAAGTGCTAAATTTGCCAGAGTATAACACTTTCGAATTCTCAATGCATCATCAAGTATACTTCGTGAAGCACCTAAAAAAACTGCACATCTTTGTTTTGATCCACTTTACTTTGACATTGCAGTTCAGTGTCGGAACAACTTAATTTAACTTGTAAATGTATACTGATCTTCAATTTTCTCATTGTGAAGGAAATAAACCTTTCTATAACGAATAGTTTCTGGATTATCATCAATATCGATATCCTGATGAAAAGTTTTGCTAACGCCAGCGCTTGCTGCACTGTTCGTTGAGAAAATTTCAACTTCACGATTCCCGAAAGCATCGGAAGGAACGAATGCTTTGGAATGTGGCTTATGGATGTTTTCCAGCGGTACAATTGTTGCAGGAGTATTTGCAAATGAATCCTCCGAAGGTCGTACTGATGAAAATGGGATGGTAGGTGAACAAATTTCTCGAGCATCTACACCCTCTTCGATATGTCCCGTCTGTAATTAAATCTGATACGAAAAAATCTTAACAAATCTCATAGAATGTTGATGACTAATACCTTCAAAATTTTTGAAATACAGCGTGTGAATTTCTAAGAGATTGCAAAAAAAGAAAATTTCAAAAAAAATTAAAGCAACTGTAAACAACAAAAGATATGAAAACCTCAACACTGCGTTTTCGGATGTCTTCGCGCACAAAAATTTCTTCAATTGGTTCATCTCTTATTGTTCCATCTCTTGCTGTAACCAGAAGTGTTCTGGGTAATGGTAAGCTATGAAGCAACGGTTCATCGGACAAAGTTCGTGACTTCTGGAATTATTAATATGTATTAATAGTGAATACTCATGAGCTATGAAGCAACTCGTGAGTATTTGCTATTAAAATCATGTATTATTCCTTTGTTAAAAAATTGAGCTTCATTCATTATTAAGCAGATCAAATCAGCTCTCAAAAAAGAAGTCGTGATGGACTGCAAAGTGATAGAGATGAAAAATTTACACATCTTCGAATAAAATCATTAAATTTCTGCGTTAAAGAGGACCGTCTCATGTACTTCGAATCCGCTGTACCCGTTGTTGCTCGTCGCGCATTTGATTCTTTACATGAAAAGTAAAACTATTGCCAAAAATTTTTGAAAAATAGCGATGACAGTTCAAAAAAATCTTTTATTGCAAAACTATTATCGAAAATGAATGCTTTTCTTACAGACATAAAGATCAAAAAATTTAAAAAACAAGTCCTCACCTGTGGAAAAACTTATGATTACATCAGAGATACGATTATCGAATGAACCAGATCTTGATTCCGAAAGAATATCCGAATCACTTTTTCCGCATTCCAGCCAAGCATCGTCATCATTCCAATGATCGAAGGAGGTACCCACCGAATCTGAGGAAAATAAATTTGACATTTATGATTTGACGTTTATCCAGCAAATGCTGGAGAGTAAACAACTATTATTTATTTTTAAAAAATTTGACGTTTATCCAGCAAATGCTGAAGAGTAAACAACTATTACTTGTTATTTTTTTTCAGAAAGTCTTAATGTATTATCATTATAAAGCATCCTAATTTGAATCAAATAAATTCCATCAAACTAAGTGAGTAGATCACAAAATGATAAAAAAATAATCTAAAGTGAAGAAGATAACAAATATCTACAACCACTACCTAATTTAGATTTTTTATTCTAAGAGATAAGTAACAAGAATTACAGATCCAAAGGTTTGGAGAATACGAAAAGGCTAGTGAGCAGACGTGTAGAACTAGTAGTGATAAAAACGGAAATACCGCCAAATTTCAATTTAATGAATTAACTGGATGATGATGAATCTGTTTGTATCGGGAATAAATCATTCAGATCCGGCAACTGTGATATATAAGACACTGTTGAACTTGATGTCTCCAATGTGTGATTCGATGAGATTAATTTACCAACTAAAAGATGAAAATGTTTTAAATGAAAAAGATTAAGTTCATCATAATTCTGGAAAAAAATAACTGAAGTTTAAAGAAACAAAAACGAAACAGAAAATAATAAATTTCACAGTGTTTAGAAGTGCAAAATACCAGTCAAAAAAAACAGAATAACACAATTAAGGATCTTTTAAGCGAGACATAGGGAACCTTTAACAAATGCTGGTAAGACCGGCCGTACAAGAACACGTCGACAGTCAGCTAAGAAATCGTGCGCTTCATGCTGATTCCAGCGATTTCGATCTAGTTCCTACAAATTAAAATATATTTGAAAATGCTTTTAAAAGAAAAACAATGATAATAAAAGCAACGACTGACGATAATAATAACATTGATGCAACCCGAAAGCACAAAACGATAGAAATTGCAAAAGTACTTATCGGAAATTTATTTGACCACTGGAGACAGGTGTTAAAAACGACAGAAGGGATAAAGATACTTCACGATGAATTAAAAAAGAAAATTCAGTTTCGAAATTTAAGAATACTATGAAAAGTTATGAATGACGAAAAAATTTGCGAAAAATATTCCAATGCAACTAATACAAATTGGACCTGCTGTCTAGCTAAAAATATTCACCTGTTCAACAGTAGCACTTAATATGTTCGGATGGAATTTCACAGCAGAAAATAAAACTTTAAGTACATGTATTGCTCGACCATCCACAACATTTATATGACTTCTGAAAAGAAACTCTTAAAAATTTTTGGTGAAAAGAATGCTCTGAATTTTAGAGTTAAAAATGTAAAAATATAATATATATATATATATAATTTTATCATCGTTTGGATTTTGTTCTATTTTCAAGCCTCAATCGTCCACATAAAAAAACGTATCGTTGTTAACAAAAGATTTCGAAAAAAAAAGACCATTGGAAAGATAATATGACTAATAGAGACAGAAAAAACAGAACTGTTTATGATAAAACTCATTTAGATAATGTCTACCTTAAATATTCTATCAGAGTTGCAGGATAAATCCCATATAAAACGATAAAATACTGGACTACTGCACTGTATAAATGTGACACATATATTCCTTCAATGGTATCTGCCCTCTGTTGGTCAAATAATTTCTTGAAGTTATAAAGTATATTACAGGCCACAATTAACAGACGAAACAAATTTAGCAATATCGATTTTTTCGGGGCAGCAAAATGTGGAAGCAAGGAGGATACAAAAAGGATCGCGGATACGACCACAACAATGTTCTCGGATGGCTGTAAAAAAACTTCAATTGATTTTAATCTTTCAGGTCCTAACTTGAAGTTGTCAAATGTAACTTGTTTATTTTGAAATCACTAAATAACTTACTCATTATTTTACTTGTCAGATTCTGAGTTGTGATAATAACAATTTGAAATCTCTAGTTATCAAATACCTTTTATTATTTTTATTATTAGGATTATTTCTGAAGCAAAGGCTTATAAATAATTCAGATTTAAAAGTTCTCTCCTGAATCCTAACATATCGAAACACAACGCAATTATGCTTAAAAGAAATCTCACATCGTTCGTTTACTTTCAAGACAGATCTCCACATGTTGCTGAAAAGAAACTAACCCGAATAAACTTCATGATATGATCAAAAAGTGGATGCTCCGCAAGCTTTGGCAACCAACTTGGAGTCTTTTGTATTAATTGTCCAAGAAGTGTAAGTACACGTAATGTATTTTTGGCCAAAAAATCCTGAATTCTATTGCACAGTTCCTATAATAATTTTAATGTTACGAAAGTCTTAATTCACAAATATGTAAAAAGATACATAAATTATTTCTTTGCTCAATTTCTTCCATCATTTTTTTGACTCAATTTCATTGGAAAAATGAAACTTGCCGTGTCATAAGGCTCCTTAACATTACGAAGTAATTCCAATGCTACAGGTGATTGGTTTTGTATATAGCAAGTTACCAATTGACTAATACCTTCTCCTGGAACAATAATGAAATCAGATCATTTTTTATTCACAATCATACTTAAAGTCCATATATATTGCGTATAGTGCTCTAATTTCCTGCTCTGGATATCTTTTATAAAGAATTTTTAAGATAATTTTCTAGGAAAGAAAATAAACATTGAGAGAACTAAAAATCTATTAGAGTAATTCGATCAGATCAATTTTTCATAAAAGCGCTTGCTTTTACGCATGAGCTAGACATATAATTTTTCTGGTTTAATATCTTCCACCTTATGGCACTACTATTATCTTATAAATCTAATATGTAAAACAAAACCAATTCAAAACTATTATTGCAGCAAATTACTTCGCATTTATTGCATATTCTTCTTAATTTGGTCGATTTATTATCAAAACGAATACCTTGACTGATCAGCTCTTGCAATGCTTCCAGAGAATCTTCGGATACCTTTGAATCCAATGATTCTGCATAACGGAGTAGCTGCGTTATATTGTGCTCTTTTCGTTTCATACTCTTTACTGCACATTAAAGTCCTATAGGTTTAGCATATTTACCATTTCTTGAGAAAAGGACTGGTTACCCAAGTAAAGCCACGCTTAGATAACGTTCCTGAAAAACTCCGCTAAAATCGTGAAAATTAACTCCCATGCTATATATAGAATGCAAACACATCTTTATCAACTACAACAAATTTCGATTTTTGAGTTTAAACTTTAGCGTTACTTCAAGAGATCAAAAAAATCTGTATTTCAAAAACAACAAAGTTATTTAATCAAACCTAGTGGACCCACATTATTTATATATTTATCATTCCTCGATGTAAACACCCGTATACTATCCCCTAAGATAGTACTACTATCATCATTCGTGAATGTTCACGTGAAAAAAACATTCTTTTCACAATAAAATGTCACTTGTCACTATTCTCAGTGCAACCGTTAATGATATACCTCTATCATTAATATAACAGAGATTTCACGAATCGTATCTCGTATCTCTTGAAATTTTAAGAGATCCAACAAATGAATCCTGTTTAGCAAGCTTTCAACCAGAAGATACTTTAGAAGCTAGAATTCAATCAGCCACGGATAGATTACAACTATAACTCCCAAAGCGTCAGAAATAATTGTACAGCTTTAATTTTTGCTGAGAAATTTCCAGAAAACTATGGTACCGCTTCTTCGGCCACCCTTCATTCTTCTTCTTTATGATTTAAATATCAGGTCAAGCACCTTCTCTCTACTGTCACACACGATGTTTTGTAATTGTACCAGTTTTATGAAATATAAATATATCAGTTCAGATCCATCACATTGAACAAAAACAAAGACGAATGCATAAAATACATAATTGTGACAGAAGAAATAGTAAAAGTAAAACAAATTCAAGAAAAGTTAGTTTGGAAATGAATTTCATTTATAGCTGTCATCATAGTCTGAGCTAGACTTACAGACATATAGCACACTATTGAACACTTTTTGCGTATAGCACCTTGAAGAATTTGAGGAATGTGTATGCGAAATTGAAATTTTAATTGCAATGCTGAAAAAAGGAAAGACGACATGAACAAATAATAGAGTGAGCAAATACAGATTTCAAAACAAATTCAGTTATTTGCTTTGTTTTTTTGTTGTTGCAGAAACATCAAATGACTTTATATTTGCATTAGAAATAGTTGAAGCTGAGACGAATTTTGGCGGACAAACAGTGGCAGCAAAACTAGCCAAATCCTTGCGCGGACGACCCAAATCGAATAAGTATTTCAGATCAGCAATCGTTAATTTACTGAGTTTCTTCGATGCAACTCTGAAATCACCTCGGAAGATATATGGAAATTTAGGTGTTCCTTTTAAGGATATTTTCTTCGAAACGCAAAATAATATATCTTTAAAAAATATCATAACAAATAAAATTAAAAAAATTAGCATCGAAACAAACGACCTGTATATAAATTAAGTCCTAATAAAACCATCTACAACGTACCAGATCAAAATATAAAAACATTATTTAATCCTCTCAAAGATTGAAAATTGTGAACCAACTGAGAACAACAGCAGAACTCTTCGACAATGATTTATTTAGCTAGATTATTTATTAGGGCAAGATAACTGCAAAAAGACACTGTCCACCAAAACTCTTTGAGGTTTAAGGTCCGGGAGCACATTCTCCAACAAAAAAATCCAACTAAAATGCTCACAAACAGTGATCTCAGCTATTATGGCAACCGGATTTTGTAGTAGCATCTAAAGCAGCGAGCCTTAGAACAAAACTTACCCTTCTAAAACATCTTTTGCTAAAGTTTTCTTCACTCGCTGTAATGCTAAAACACGTTCTTCAATTGTTTCAAGACACACCAGCCTATAAAAAGGTTCTTTTAAATAGATATTCATACTGAACAATGAAAGTTCGCCATAATTCTACATGATCAATTATGAACCAGTTCTTGGAAATATTTCAAAAAAATATGACTTAACTATTCATAAAAATTAATATCTGATGCTTGCTTGCATGCGACTAATAACTTATTCTGCGACTTTTTAGAATATAAAATTTTACTAAGTTTTGATGATAACTTCTGAGAAATTCATACTTGTGTATAAAAACATTCTTCGTTTGTCCAATTCTATAAATGCGATCAGAAGCTTGTTGTTCGAGGGCAGGATTCCAGTGCAAATCGACCAAGAATAGATGATTACCGCCGACTAAGTTCAATCCCACTCCGCCGGCTGTCAATGACAGCAACATGACACGAGGTCCACTGTCAACCTCATTAAAGCTATTAGCTCTGCTTTGTCTGAAATATTTCTGATTACCCTCTAAATACACACAAGAGAGGAGTATAATGCACAAGTATCCAATAGGATAGCTAAGGTAATCAGAAATTAGTAACATTGTAAAAATTTCAAGGCTGACTGAGAAACCCTGTAAACGGAAGATCACTTGGAACTTTGCGATTTGCCTACTCCTAATATAAAAATATGTAATAGATTTCCTTTTTATCGAAAAATGAACTCAAAATACTAATAAAGTTTCATAAAGAAGGAGAAGAATACAAAGAGAGCGATAAGAATTACCGGTCCTTGCTCGAAACTTTTCCATTGATAGATGTAAATAAAATTTTTTTTTGTCCCAAATGATACTCCAGAATGTTCAAAAGACTGGTCCATTGGCTTACAATAACACTGAAAGATATCTGATATCAAAATAAGCATATCCACGAGTACGAGTTCTTTTATGAAAACAAATTTATATCGCGATTAATAAAAATTATAATAGATCCTGATATGATTCGAGACAACAGCACTAGCTTGAGAGGCAGGAGAGCGGCAGATAATCAAATTCAGTAGCATCGATATACTCTAGACTTACAATCTAAATCACTGATCTTAGCAGTGAGAAAATTACAAAAATTTCATGCAAATATTACCATTTATCCCCACAAGAAAGAGCATAGTCCACGTGTTCAAATAACTTTTTGACCTGCAAATCAAAATCGAGATTTTTAATGAATTTAAAAGCTAAGAAATTATGGAACTGCATTTAATGTAACGGCACTTAGCTTGGAAATTGACTCAATCTGTAAGTCAAGGATCACACCATGCTAATGGAGCTTCGTTGTCATCTGAATTCTGATCAAATTTTGCATAACATTTGAAAAACCAACTACCTTCGTTGAAACAAAAGTTTTCTGAAAGAGTTGTTCTACTTGTTCCTTTCCATTGTCATCCAATAACTTCGTAGTGAGAGCTTGTTCGTCCAGAAGCGACATATTCGAAAAACACTTCGATAACATCTCCGCGTTTTCATCCTCTTCAACATCTAGTGTTTGGAGTACTTCCATATCGATCGCCTAAAAATATATAAAAAATTCGAGAAAGTGACGACATTTACTATTTCTGCGTCATATTCCTCAAGAGTTTCAAATGATTAGTTAGTACTTGATTGATTAGTGAGAGATGTACACAAGCTTGTCGCAAACGCATTAATAATGTTAGCACACAAGTCATTGATTGAAAATTATCGTTGTTTCGAATCGTTCGTGAACCACCTATAACAAATTTTAAAATAATCACTGATGATAAATCTACCTATTGTGAAAATATTTAATCCAAATAACTCAATTTTAATTTGTCTAAAGTAAATAATGGAATTCCTTAATCATGACTGTGGATGTAATCCTCAATCTTTTTTCTTTGACAACCACATCTATTACTACATTTGATTAGACTTCCTAAGCACACTGAATTTAGTTTCTGATCTTTCAATTTAAATATAAATTTAAGCATTAGAATTTATGATGGAATTCCTTAATCATGAACATACTACATAGATGAAATTTCATGATTTAAGTTTTAGCCATCTCGTCAAGATCATTAGCATTTACATAGCACAAACCTAAAAATGGATTCCTAGCTGGTCTATTAGTAAAATTGATCCTTCCAATACCATACAGCTCTCGTTCTCTTTCTTCTCGTGTTTTGATTAATTCTTTTACTTGCTGTCTTCAAATTTTTTTATTTTAGAAAAATCAAAAAATTCACATGATACTTATTACTATTAAATAAAAACTTGTTCAATTACACATACTCAAACTTATTTGGAAAAAACATAGTTAGTTGTAACAACGATGGTTTTCATCGCTATCGTGATTAAATTTTAAATATTTTTTTGAATTACATTCAGTAGTAGTTGTTACCTAAAAAAATTTTTTTAAATGAATACGAACCTTGAAACCTGAAACATATAATCATAAACTTTCTTTTCGATGCCTCCAAGTTTCATAACAACTTCTTCATACATTCTTGGCCTTAGATCTACCTATGAAAATTAAGACACATCAGTCAAGTTCTATCAACGAAATTTTTGAGCCATATCACATTTCGAGTTATTAGCTTTATACATAGCTTTGTAGTGAAATTTTGTGGTTTTAGCTGACTCGAGTTTTTAACACTTCAAATACTTCAGCAAAAACTCATTACTAAATTCGCTTTCAAAATCTCTGGATACAGAAACTAGTGCACTACCGCTGCCAACTCTCCCTTACGCAATAAAAAACAATAATTGAAAGTAATACAATCGGTTTATTCGTTTCTGCACATATCTGATTTTTTTCTCGCCTCAATAACAAGCCTTTCACCAAGGTATTTAATCTTTGCGATGATGAATCTGGAAATAAATTTTTGAAATTCAAGTTGAGAAAGTATATGAATTAAGAAATTAACGAAGAACAGAAAAAGGAAGAAACATACGTGCTGACATAATATATTCTTTCCAAATAGCTTCTTCACTGAACGGTACCACACGCAGAAATCTGAAGTAATTTTTAACATTAAGCAACAGTTGCGTTAGACTACAACACAATCAAAGAACAGAAAATATATTCCAATTTAGAGAAAGTCCATCATCGGGGTACTTCCATCCAGAAATAAAATAAGTGAAAATATCTGAAAAACGTATAAACCTGATCAAGGAATATAAATCCCACAAATTATTATGTATTGGTGTGCCTGTAAGACACCATCGAGCTACAGCAGGAATTTTACAACACGCTTTAGAAATTAGTGATGATCTATTTTTGATTTGATGAGCTTCATCCAGAATGACACGCTCCCAGGCTATCTTCGTGAGCACGGAACCTGATTTTTTTGAAATCTGAAATGAGCATCATGATTTATTCTTATTCAAATTAAGCCTTTTTGAAACTAATTTGAAACACATTCAACAAATTCATTTCAGCATCTTTCAACATCCTCCAAACAAACTCATTTCAGTACATAAAAAACTTACAAGCTCAACAACAAAAGTATCAAATAGTTCTGGAGTTACGGCAAACCTTTCGTTTTACTTTCCCTTTTCCATTCCCTTCTCCATGGGAATTACTAGTATCACTACTACTGCTTTCATCATCAACACCACATGCAGTGAATTTTTCGCTTAATTCATTGCTCACAATTCCATATGTAGTGATAACGACATCATAACGTGCAAGGCTAAAAAAAAATATTTCAAAATTTAGTTTAATATCATATTACGAAGTGAATATGATACTAAACTTCCAAATACGGATGTGAAAAATTACCATTCTGCACTTATATCGCGCTTATGTTTAAGTCCATGGAATAAATATCGAGAAAGAAAGCCACTTTTCACATGTTTTTGAAATTCTGCCTCCCACTGGAAAATTAATGAAGCTGGAGCGACAATTAGTGTAGTTCTGGATGGAATTAAACTATCTGAAGATTAAAAAAGCCACAATGACAAAAACGTACTTATTTTCAGAACTACCTATATTCAGGTTAAATAAGAATTTTACAAAAAGTGAACATGGATAAAATATGTATTTTGTCTTGAAAAAAAAATTTATGAAAATATTCTTTTGATATTTGTATTCAATCATTCATTTCAAAGGAAATAACCAAAATCAAAAAACAACAAGCCAACAAAACTAAAAGCGACCTTTAGTAGCTTTTTTGTTTAATCCTTCCATTACTTCTTCATGTTTACGTCGTTCCTTGACATTTGCAATAAGTGAAATCATACTTAAAGTCTTGCCTAGGCCCATGTCATCAGCTGAAATCAAATAGCGATCCGCTTGAAATTTATGATATCAATGGTAGGTAATGTACTAAAAAATCCCTTGAACATATCCTCCACATAAAGTTATATTTAAATCCAAAATCCAATCGGAAATAAACTTGTTCTTTAAAATAAAGCCTTGATACACCGACAGAAACCTAGGATTAAAACTCAGTAAAACCATAGATACCGAGGATTCCACAAGGTAACAATTGTCTCTCACGCCACAGCAACCAGGTTAGGCCTTCTTTTTGATGCGGCATTAATTCGGTAAGCAAACTGGATGGTGTATCCGTTCCCACATTTTCTGGGACATTTGCAAGTGAACTGAAAAAACCTGATGAAATATGTAGGAAATGAAATGTATATATAACATTATTTCAGCAGAACTTTTGAATTTCAAATAATCGGTAAGCATGGAAATCTAACAGAAAATATCCATTAGAATTCTAAAGTCGTATTTGAGAATTTCTAAACTAAGGATTCCAAACTTACCTATGCATCTGAGCAATAACTTGACCAGTAACTGCATTGGCCAGGCAAACTCGATTATCCGTCATTTTTCCACCAAATAATCGATGTCCTACGAATGGATAATCAAAAATTGAAAATTTTTCCTCATAAGGCTCAGGAACTTAGGCTTTAAAAAAATTCCTATTCATATTTCCCATTATAACAAATTACCTCTATTCATAACTTGAGGAGAAACGATTGGTGGTCCTTTCTTTTTCTGAATAATACTAGCTTCTTCCTTTTCAGTGAGTTCTACAAAATCACATATGATTCACCGAAAATTTTAGAAATGTGGAACTGCTCTTCCTAACTTCCATAACTCCGTTTATTATGGGAAAATACAGAATCATTAACTTGCGAGTTGGATGTTCCATTATCTACATTGTCAATTTTTTAGCAACTTTCATTTTCTTCAATAATAACTATCTAGATATTCATTTTGTTATCTTAATATTATTGAAATTAGTTCTTGCGCAACAAGATTTTTTGTATTTAGTTATTAAAAAATCAATTCATAACCGGCCCCCAATTCATGCGAAATGGCAGTAATAAATATGATTTATATTTTCTAATGCTACAACACAAAGCTCAATACGTTACTATAAAAATCTATTATTTAAGTGCAAAAATTTCGAAACATCAAAATATTTTTTTATTTTATACTGATTAATCCAAATCCAAACCATTGGGAGCAATATTTTCGTTCTTTTCAAATGCATCTAGAATATTTAATTTGTCTTGTAATATTTTAATTTTTTCTAATAATCGTCGCCCACAGTCTGGCAGTTTCGATAAATTCGCGCTTCGCTTGAGACTCTAAAATCAAATATTTATCAAGATATGAATACGAATATAACTTCGAAAATAAATTTCATGAAGTACCTTCAAATTTTCCAACTGCGTCTCCATTTCCATTCTTGATAAGGCCTCTGGAATCTGAAAACGAAAAGCACTGCTTCTTTCTCATCAACTATAACTGATCCCAACTCCTAAAATAATCTATCCTTCGATTTATTTTACTAAGATGTTATACCTCCACATCCGTTAATACTCACCATTGAAAGCAAGCAAGTTTTCAATGGCTTTTTCCTCAATTTCATTAACCAAAACTCACTCTACATCCCCTTAATCTTAGAATTGAATTCCGTGAATTCGAAAAAATAATTTTTGAAAATTGCTTTTTCATGCAGCAAAAGCAATTGCCGAAATATTATTAATATAATCTAACTTTCTGCGTAGGTTCTGATGTTGAAATTGGATGCGACGGAGCAAAATGATCAATAATTTGGACGTCTTCTTCAGAAACATCATGAATCGATGCTCCAGCAAGTTTATTTGTAGTATTCTGGAAAAAAAACTAATATTCTTTTACAAAATAGTTGATTAAAACCCATATTTTTGTATTTTATGTTCTGGAAATGCCTGCTTAAACAACTCATTTTTTTAAATTATTAAGGACTAAATATAAATTAATGGTGACTTGTTATAAGCATAGATTGGAGCCCGACTGACGAAACAAAAGAAAACTGTCGATGCAAACTGTCGATGCAGACTAACAGATAATGGAGCTACTAGGTAGCTAAGCAATACAAATTCAAGACACAGACCCACCCACAAAAAAAGATTAGCTAATACGAAACTGGAAATACGACAAAACATTAATTACATACTGATAGAAGCAGATGCAGATCACATGGTGATATAAATATTACATAGCTTATTATCACTTAGATAACTCATCAGTTTTTTCCACAAGTTTTACCTCATTTATAGTTCTGTCTAAGTTAAAAAATCATTTTCATGCAATGTTTTGAACTACAAATGATATTTCAATCAAAGAAATTAAATTGTAATTAGACAAATTGTAAAAAAAAAGGTAGAAGAGAAGCAGTATTTCATTAATTGAGCACCGCTTCAAATTAAAAGCATAATAATTAGACTCAAAACATGACCGTAACAACTAATGGTTATAAGATGATAGCGACCTTCCCTTCTATTCTTTTTCAGTTCTTCCTCTATATTTTTTGTATCCGTTTTCCCCATATGTTTGCTAGAAAGTTTTGTGCATTTGTTACCTTCATAGTTCTCCATAGGTAGGTAAGGTATCTAATGACTGTACACTGATGCATCCAGCATGAAAATTGATAAGCGGTCGTTCATCATCAAGAGAAAAATAGACTGAAGAATTACTTGACTTACTTGACCATTTTCTTTAATATCATCCAACACTTCAATCGACGAATTTACGCCACAGATATAAACGGAACCTTCACCCGAGTTACTTGATGCAGTTATATTTTCAACTTCGTTCGACAATTTCTTCAACACGGACATGCTTTCCGTCTCGACATTAACAACCTCAGCTTCAAATGAAGTAGTACTTCGAGTACTGTAAAAATAATTGATTCACAGATAACAGTTTATTTTTATAGCAATCACTCATTATATTCATGAGTTATGTTAGAATTATTTTTTTTGATATCGTCACATTCATGTAAAGATAACGCAATTCAAAAATATCTTTCTTCGAAGATGCTTCCGACATTTTTTAAATCGTATTTTTCAAATCCAAAGAAGCACTAGAAAATAATTGTTAAATATACTTAATCGACATGTTCGTCAGTAGAATTTTCCCCGCTTCTTTTACTTCAGAATTATCGCTTGTGGTAAATATATCGCTTGAATTGCAGCTACTTGTCTATAACATTAATACTTTATTTTATTTATTAAGAATTTCAGACTTGATATAAACTGAGCATAACAAAGGACATTAGCATTTTCAAAGCAGGAAAAGAAGTCAAAGAAAATGAAAATTTCTTCCTTAGGAAATAACTGAAGTCTCGAATTATTCGAAGCTAAGCAATAATAGTGACGGAGAAATCAGATCTTTTCTGTTATTTAGTTTCGAATAGTGGCATACATACTACTTTCTAGAAAGTTTCTGAAAAAGAACTAACAATATTTCATTTGTTCTACAAAATTCTTTTGCCATTTCTTATTTAATATAAGAATTTAAATCAGAATTCATTTTTGCTAAACGTTAGCTCACATAATTTTATGATATTTAAATCTAACAAAGCAATTTTAGTTGTTTTAGATCTAGCATCATGAAGATCTTGATAAATAACAACCCGCTTACTTCTTTGCTATCCTTAAACAATTCTGCTTCATTATTTGTTGGGCTTCTTTTGCTGGTATCCATGTCATTAATGTAGCTTGTTGTGCTGACTTGCATCGGACTAGCAGGTGCTTTATCATTAGTCAAAGGACTTTTCGGACTTACAATTTCCGACACACCTGTATCCCGACCAACATCACCCCATGCAATTTTCCGTTTCTGTAAAAATAACACAGAATGGTTGCACATGTTATTGCTTCTTTCTGTAGCTTGAAAATCCAACATATAGAAAAGAATTGTGTGATCATTGATCAATGGCTATAGCTTTAATTATTTTTAAAACCATTACAAAAAGTCTACGAAAGCGACTTTTTAAATTTTTCGAATTCCTGTTCAGAAATTTTGAGATCTAACAAAAACTTTTCAGGATAGTTGTGATTAAAACAAAAAAGATTCTAAATAATACCTCATGAAGATATCTCATTACAGCAATCTGCCGACCATGTTTTTTCTCTTTTTTATCGAGATCCAAAGGTGAAGCTAAAATTAAAATTCACCATTACTTCCTAACTTTTAATGTGTCGATGCTCTTTATTCCTCTGCAGCTTGTTAATTAGGAGCTGCTAAAAAAAATTAAGAACTGCTTTACTAAACTAATACTTTTACTTGAATTTTCATTTGAGTGTAGTTACACTATATTAAAGTGACTGCAAAAAATTAAACTAATAAATGAAAAATACAATTTTATATCTTCTCTCTGTTAATTCAAGTAATAACTGCTAATGTGAAATTAATGAAATATGATAAGAGTGTTCAAAAAGGCACTAACCCATAGCGTTACTGAGAATACTGCGACTTCGGTCAACTCTTCCAATCGAATGAAGATCTGAAATTTATAATAGAACGAGAAAAGTAGGCGCAACGATAAATAAAATCTAATTGTTTGGCATTGCAAGGTTGAAACTTGAAGTTCGTTTTGTGTAGAAAAGATACCAAACACATCACACCACTTACTTTTTTCACTACTGGTGGAAATGCTGCTTACTAGAGATAATTTTGCTAACCGTTCGTTTTCTTCCGAAGATAACGCAGTATCCTGGAAAACTCTAATTGAAAATGTTCTAAAGAGATTATTTAAAAAAGTCTTAAATTCTTATTTCAATCTATTTGCGTCTATTGTTTAAAATTTTGAAAGAAACATCTCAATCAAACCGCTCCGCATTCACACCTTTTGCAGACTGCAAATTGAAAAATAAGACTGTTACATTTTATTTCATTGTTTTTCTTGTCAAAAGTATGATTACCATCAACTTTTTCTTTCATTCAGCAGCATTCACAATATTTCCTGCATTTTTTTCCCCCTCTATCTCTCTGGAAAACTGTTAATGTGCTCCTTAAAAAAACAGATTATTCTCTCCTTCCTTAAATTTCTCATCATTATAATTGCAGTTTCAGGTTTTCTTGCTCCAGCGAAATTTCAGCCTTTCAGATGACATGTCGGTACCAGAGGATAATTTTTGAGCTTTGTTGCAACCTATTGTCTTCCCCTTTCTCTCTCTCTCTGTTTAATATTTCACCCATTTTGAAGATTGTTGATTATTTTCACAGCCAAAGCTCGGATTGTATTCAATCTTATACCATTTTAAATACAAAAACTTCCTCTTTATCAATTGAAAAATTTCATTATTCTTCAGCTAAAAAGTACGCCTTCTATTTTCTCTTGCATCTGGTATCATACGATTAATAAAAATGCTTATATCCTAGCAAAAAATTAATTAAATTGGGAAGAGACATGCCTCATGAATGTGCGATAATTTGCCGAAATCTAATCGATATATGTGATCCGGCAGCATAGTTGTACTTATGCGGGGAGTTGAAGTGACGGGTCCTGGCTCTCTTTGTCTTATCTTTCCGATTGGTGACATCAAATTCAGTGATGCTAACAAATTGCTGTTTGTAGAAGGAAAGTTTTCATGTTTCGTTTTCTGCTCGATTTTCCTTATTAACATATCATGGTCTGATGACATCTATCTGAAACTTTAAAAAAAAATCCATGAATAAGTTAAGGAAAACATGTTAAAGTGTGTCTTAAGACTGACGTATTTTTGTTCGTCTCACTGAGGCATACATAACTATCGTGATTCGTTGGATGACATAAATAGTTGAACATAAGTGACATATACTTCGAGACATAACTTGGCCTGTGAGACTATCACATCATGTTTCTAGCTGTACTTAAACGGGGAGTTAAAGTGACGGGTTCAAATGAAGCAGCAACGGTCAATGTTAAATTAAAGTTTGCTGAATAAAAGAAAAATAAACAAGTGAAATAAAATGTAATCAAAATGGCATAAGGCAGTGAAATATGAAAAATTAAACAAATGAATGATAAGAGAACAAATGAATGATAAGAGATAACTATGGCATACAAATGAATGATAAGAGAACAAATGAATGATAAGAGATAACTATGGCATATCATATGACATATAACATGAAGATCGTGAGACCAATGGGTATGTGTAGGATATTTGATATATTCTACACTACACATAGACCACAAGATCTCCAAGTACAATTTTTGAAGAGTAAATGAATAACAAAAAATCAACGAGCGCAATACCATGTAACCGCGAAATACCAAGCTATGACAGCAAAGCCATTGATGTTTTTTGATTAACAGTTGTACGGTGCACTGGTATACCTTCCCGTATGTCCTGGTAGGCTGTTGTAAATTAGTCATTTCTATACTAAACAAAGCGAGTAGATGAAAGGATAGTTCAAAAGGAAAAAATTGAGGATGAGCGATTGGAGAATTTGTGCCGTTTCGTGAGATTAAGTAGAGTACACTTTAACACAATACAAAATATAGTCAGGGCATCATAGAATAATCTCAGAAAAACTTTTCAAGCAAATAGAATAAACAATGCTGAGTGCAGAAACATAGTTAGCTAGAAACGAAAATGAGGAATTAAAATTTAACTGAATAGGGACAAGAAAATGCTTAACAAAAATCAACTGAAAAATCACAGGAATTTATTAACTGTTTAGCGGCATTTTTTTTTATCATTAATTCTTTCAGCTAATTAGCTAACTAATCATTTCTATATTAAAGGAAGCGGGCAGATGAAAGGATAGGTATGAAATTGCCGCATGGCAACGTTTTTCTTACCCTCTCTTCTCATCGTTTCAACTTAGAATTTTTCTTTTGAGACAGAACTTTTTCCAAGAGATGATAACATTTATCATATTTCTGGGTAATCTTAATAGAAGTGAAAAGTTAGAGGAAGTTAAGTGAAAGAAAGGAAAACAAGAATTGCGTTTACCTTATCAATCACACCATTACTTTTATATGATATCTGTTGGAACTATTACTGTTCCAACAGATGTCATATAATTCTGGTAGATTTCTGCAGCACATTCATCTGCGAAATCTACCACATCAACTTAATTCGATCTTACTATCTCTCATTATTGATCATATTATTTATGTGTATCCTAATATCTTAAAGATTATCATAATATCACCACACTTTTTTGCACCAATAACTTCTATTTGCACCACCGAATATTTAAGACATCTCGGACTACTCGACATGATTTTAATTTTCTCGGATTAACCTTTTCACAATGACTCTGTCAGAGTAAGCCGTAATATGCGGTAGAAGTTCCCGAGAATTTAACTTAATATTGTTTAGTAATTTAACGTTCGTTGCAACTACGCTAACAAAGAGCACGTGCCGATTTCACTTGTAAAAACTTGACATATTCCATTTTCAGATCTCGAAGAAACAAAATGTCTGAAGATGCTTCAAAGCATACGATGGATATTAGTAGTAGTAGCAAGGTCTCAATTTCCTCACTAATCAAGAATTTATATTTTGTATTTTTTTGCTAGTTTACTTAGTTGTATGATGAAAATCAATTTTTCCATTATGTTAGAATCTATTACTTAACTAATGTTATTATCTAAAGCCTTCAGGAGAGAGTTCAGAAATTAATCTTAGTGGTTCAAATGTGAAATGGTTTAATACTTTTCTTGTGAATATATTTTAACTTCGAAATTTGTTAAATCAGAACATATTATCTGTTATATGTATATTCTTTATGATATTTTTCAAAAATGTTTTCGTTGAAAAATTTTAATTTGTATTTTCTTTGCTGTAGCTTTCTTAATTTGAAAATGTTTCGCTATTCTCCTTAATAGGCGTAAAATGTTTTTGTTTTCTTCAGATTGTAGGAATATGAGGTAATCAATTATCATAGTTCTTTGGCAGTGCCTCATTTTTATTCACTTCCAGAAAAACCTAATCATCTTTTGCGGTAGGGTATAAATAAGGGATGAAGGAGCTGCGAAATATAACTGGAAAGCAACAGCTGCTAATTTTATCTTGTTTTTGTTTAAATCCATGTGTATTACATTTTTATAAAATAGGCCTTCAGATGATGCGTCGATTGGTGTCCACTCGTTTGGAAGATATTCGAGATGGTTTTGAAGAAGAACTTCAAGAGACAAAATCAATGAAAAGACCATTTCAAAGTAGTGAAAGGTTGACTGACAGCGAGGATGAAGACGGTGCTTTCAATGAAGTTCATGCGAAAATTGTTAGTTTTAGAAAATTTTCAGTTTTGTTAATGGCTGTAGGAAAGATAAAAACTGGAAGTTTTACGTGGGTAATTCATTGTTCATTCTATTATCTTCCATTCTGAAATCTCATTCTTGATATTCATTTTAAGGAGCTGTTCATTTCTGAAAATCCTAAATTTTTCATTACTGCCATTTTCATGGTGTTCGCGTTTGAAATGATATTTTTTTTCCATTGTTCCATTTCTTTCTTTTGGGCTGAAAAGAATATATCTTATCGTTACTTTCCTCATTTAAAGTGTAACTCACAAAACATTTTAGCCAAAGCTCGATTATGACAATAAAGGAGCAATATTACTGGCTAAAATGGGATACGATGGTGGTGGACTTGGTAAGAGTGGCCAAGGACGCACAGAACTAATACCATTTTCCACGCAACGAGGTCGCGAAGGCTTGGGAAAGTCTGCGAATCAGGTGATAGAAAATTGATTAAAAAATTTGCAGGGATTTATTGGATTTAAAAAAGCTGGCTTTTTACTAAATGCTTGGTTTTCACGGAATTTGATCTAAAATCAAACAATTGCTCATTCATTCTTTAGAAAATTGCTCGAGATTGGAATGCAGTTTGGGATTCTACTGAGGAAGAGAAAATTGTAAAAGAAAGTGTACTGTGGTTATCTGCTCCTGATGACATACGACAGAAGTTCATAAAAGAATTACAAGATCAAAACAACTGGATTATTATTGGAGATGTAAGTCCACTTTTTGGAAGCGTGGCTGAAAGATGTAAAAATAATGATTTTGGAAGAATCCATTAGTTTTTAAATTTTGAACTTCTTTCATTTTTATGTCTTAATATATTCTAGCGGAAAGAGACATTAGATGGCGAGTGGAAATATTGTGATAGAAAATTAATGCAAAAAATGTTGGATGCAAAATCCGTTTTTGATCAGCTTGATGTTCGAGACTTAAAGGAAGCCCGTGCCCGAGCAAATCCATATGAAACAATCGGTTCTGCTTTCTTCCAGAATCGGTAATTCATTTAACAGAGTAAAAATTTAAACAAGAGACTGTTTCCTAGTTTACCAGAAATAAATATTACATTGATAGTGTTTTTCTTGCTCTTCAGTTATGCTAAAATAAATTGTATACTCTTGCAAGCATTCGTGCAGATTTCCATTTACAGATTTCTAGTTTTTTTTAATAAGCTCTCATCAGTGCAGATTTTCTTTTCTAGAATTTAGTTTTCTTTTTTTCCTCTATAGCTGCATCATCTAGAAGAAGTCGATGATTTTTTTTTCCTCTATAACTATATCATCTTGAAGGATTGTTGTAAACTTTTTTCAAAATTCTCGAATTCGCATTGAAAATATATTTTTTCAAGGGCAGCGATGAAGATGGCAAATTTAGACCGTATTTACAATTGGCTATTAACAGGTGAAAAACCTGAGAATGTTGAAATCAAAAATCCTATGAACGTAGAGATAAAAAATGAGAAATATCGTGCAGCAATTCCGGGAAAAAATACCGATCGAACATTGCCTTTATTTTACTTTGCTGATATATGCGCTGGTCCCGGTGGATTCACAGAATATGTGTTGTGGAGAAAGGGTTACTACAATGCGAAAGGTTTCGGAATGACGTTAAAAGGTAGGAGTTTTTTTAATTTTATTCTAAAATATTTTATATTGTTTCTTTTCCCAAATTGATTGTGATAGACGAAAGTGAATCAAAACATATGGCAGGAAAATTTATGAGAAGCTTTATGTTTTGGGGATCTATTACATATTTTAAAGAAGTCAGGGTGGAAAAAGTTAAAGATTTTTTATTCACCAAGTAAGAAAAAGTTTAATTGAGGTTGTTTTATAGAATAATTTTTTTTCTCCACAGGAAAAGATGATTTCAAATTGAAACGCTTCACTTCTGCTTCGCCCTCCTATTTCGAGCCTTATTATGGTAAACACAATGATGGTGATGTTACTAAGCCAGAAAATATCACCTCATTTGAAGAAGTAAGCTTATATTTTATTATGTAGAAAGGCTATGAATTTATAAAAAAATTCTGTTAATTCGTGTGGTTTTCCAAAAAATCTTATGCATAAAAGGTTCAGAAAAGCGTCCAAAACTTCTTGGAGCCATTTTTTAGTTTAAAACTACTGATTGATATCAGGTGGCTTAGTTAATAATTTAATGGAGTTATTTTTTGTTTAGAATTTAATCATAGCGTACTTTGAATAACTCAGATTGTGAAACACGGTACCAATAACGCAGGTGTAAATTTGGTGATGGCCGATGGCGGATTTTGTGTCGATCAGCAAGAAAATATTCAGGCGAGATTTTTTTAATTCTTAGATTACAGTGTTATATTTGTTTTATCGTTTTTCTATGAGATCTCTTGAAATCTGACCTCGTTAGAATTTTTCTGAAATAATTTGTGAAATT